ATCACGAGATACTTATTTCTTTGGCAAATCTCGCACCTGGATACCATCTCTTCCACATCTCTATGCATACCTTTCCATTACAACTCTGCCGCTAGCCTCCTATAAGTCTTTAGCACTCATGAATGACCTCCCACTGCAGTTCCATGGAACTCCCGGAGGCAATTGTGGATGTGTACTGACGTTTTGGGCAACACAATCCTCCCCTGATACAACAATCTCTCCTCCAACGAGTACCCTGGATGGCCTCCTCTCCTTCACTAAGTCAGCTCTGAATCTTGCTTAATTCCTCGTCTTTAGCACTCTCCTCCTTTATGGCTTCCCAATTTAGCATCATTGGGATTGACACAGCCACTGTCTGCAGCTAACCCATGCACCTGGACAAGCATCTGCTGCCTTATTTCTACCCATGGCCTGTATTGAATCTCAAAATCATACTCGAGCAGTTTGGATAACCACCTCTGATGCTCCTCTGTTACCATGCGCTGCTCCAGCAAATATTTCAGGCTCTGTTGGTCGGTCTGGACATGAAATGTCTTCCAAGTAAGTAGGACGCCACTTCTGGATGACCAAAACAATTGCTATCAACTCCCTCTCATAGACAGTTTTTAGCTGGGCTCTGGCAGTCAACACCTGGCTGACATATGCAATGGGCTTGTGACTCTGCATCAACACTGCTCCCAGCCCGTATCCTGATGCATCATTGTCTCCACTATAAAGGCTCTAGTAAAATTCGGTAAAGCTAAGACTGGAACTGTGGTCATAGCTTTCTTCAACTGCTCAAATGCTGTCGTTGCTGCCTCCCCCCATAAAATCCATCTTTCTTCAACTGCTCAGTGAGTGGCCAAGCTATAGTGGTGTATCCCTTCACAAATCTTCTGTAGTACTCTGTAAAGCCCTAGGAAATTCCCCTCAGCTCCCTTTAGATTTTTGGGCAGTGGCCACTTAAGCAATGGCCTCAATCTTGACTGATCTGCTGCTACCCCTTCCTTAGATAAATCACATGACCCCAAGTACTCCACACTGGCTTGTGCGAAGCAACACTTCTTCAAGTTAGCCCTCAGCTGGTGCTCCTGGAGAACCTCTACACCTTCTTCAAGTGCCCCCAGTGCTCTTCCTCTGTTTTGCTATACACTCAGATGTCATCGAAGAATAACCAAAAAACAAATCGCCTCAGATACTGTTTGAAAATCGTATTCATGAGTGCCTGGAAAGTGACTGGAGCATTGTGTGGCCAAAGGGCATCACCAGGAACTCATAATGGCCCTCATGAGTTCTAAAAGCGGTCTTGGGCACATCTTCTTTTCTTCATTCGAATCTGATGGTATAAGTTCAGGTCGATATTGCTGAAAATCACCGTTCCACTCAATCATCAACAAATTCGTCAATCACTGGTATGGGAAACTTATCAGGTACCGTTTCCTTGTTGAGTGCGCGGTAGTCTACACAAAACCGCCAACTGTCATCCTTCTTTTTACCAATAGAATAGGACTAGAGAACGGGCTGGTGCTAGGCCTGATGATCCCTGCTTCCAGCATTTCTCTGATCAACTTTTCTATTTCATCCTTTGAACTAAGGGCAACGGTAAGGTCGCACGCTGACCGACGACACTCCCTCTCTTAATGTGATGGCGTGCTTCTGCTCCCTGGGTGGTGGCAACCCTAGGGGGGTTGAAAAACCTCCTCGAACTCCTCGATCAAGCTGCACAGAGAGGGGTATGTCTCCCCATCCTCCACACTCACTCCCTCTAGTCGGTGTAATTCCACCAAGTAGCCTTTCCCTTTTCCTGAATTGTTTTGATTAGGGATTTAAGAGAAACCCCTGCCTTGGTCAGTCCTGCATCCCCTTGAATCACCATTTCCTTCCACCTTCACCAACTCCATCCGCAGTGTGCCCCAATTGATTTTGGTTTCCCCCAAAGTCTGCAACCACTTCATCCTTAGGATGACATCCATACTCCCCAGTTCCAGGGAAGGAAGTCTTCCTTCACTTGTATGCCTTGGATTTTCACGCACCACTTCTTCTTTGCAGATTCCTCTCTCAGTTCTACCTTCCAAGTGCCCATCATCACCCCATAGCCCCAGTTTCCACTAACTTCATATCCAACAGCTCCACAATCTGGGTGAAATGAAATTGTTGGTTGCCCCACTATCAATCAACACCACGACTCCATGGTCAGCTAATCTCCCTTCACCTTCATTAGTGTGACTCGAGTGAATCCCACATTACAGAGTTGAGAAGACTTCTGCCACATTCAGATTGCATCTTTTCCTCCTCCACCTCTGAATCGCTCCCCCACCCTCTTCGTCTTCCTCGTCTTCGCAAATGAGGAGAACTTTGAAATATTCGCATCCTTGCACTTGTGCCCTGACAATGTATTTTTCATCACATCGGAAACACAGCCCTTTCGTTCTCTTTCTCTTAGCATTATCCTTGTCAGTGAGCCTCTGAATTGTCCCCCCATTTTCTCCTTACTGTGTTTTTTCCTTTGGAATTTTCTTTCATCCCTCCTGAGAAGCTCCCTGGTGGCTAGGTGGGTAGTCGTCCACCTGTAAGTGCCTCCTGAGCTACTACTACTCCTCGCTCCCTTCTCCATGTTCTTTTGATTTTCGACCAACTGTGACAAGCTTCATGGCCCCCTTAGTCCTGGGCATTAGGACCTTCACCGCTGCTCACACCTCAGTCTTAACCCCTTCATAAATTTCCCTCCAGCACGTCTCGGACAAGCGCTCCACCCGCGTGGCCAAATGCCTCAAACCTCTTCTCCGATAGTCTGCCACAGACCCCTCTTTCTAGGGCAAAAGAACTGCCTCGTAGAAGTTCCTCCCCGATCGGTTTGGAAACGCTCTAACAAACTGTCCTTGAATTCTCCCCAGCTCCGAATAGGCCTCCTCTGATCACTCCACTCAGCGTACCAAGAGAGTGCCTTCCCTTCCAGACAAACAAACCTCTGCCGATAACTTTCCTCTTCCGTCAATCCCCGTCTAACAGCCAAAGTACTCCACTTGTAGATCCACCCATAGCGATCCTTCCCTTCAAAAAATGGGCATTTCAATTTCTTTTCCTAACCTTCTGATCCCCTCCATTTCCCCTTAATCCTCCATAATTTCCCCTCTCCCATGTGCCTTGGCCCCCCCATGTCTCCCGTTCTTCCCTGGCTCTACCATGCCCCAATCCCCCTTCAAGATCCCCTCTCCGATCGTCAAAAAAAGCCCCCTGAAGTCCATAATAACCCCCCCCCCCCCGGTGCTCCCAACCAGCACCTCTTGGCTCCACACCTCCATAGTCTTGCCTTTCCCATATCTTCCTCCTCTCTCCTCCCTCTGGAAGGGCTCCAAATGAGGCCTTCCCCTACTTCCTTCCACGATTTCCACCTCCTCTTCCTCCCGATGGATTTAAGAGTTGGTGTTCTTCTCTGCTGGCCCTTTTGCATCAGATGCCGCCGATTGGGTTTGAAACTCCAACATCTTCTTCATCATTTCTCGTAGATCGGACACTTGCCCCTCCATGGAAGACATTCGTTCCTTCACGGTCTCCTTGATTTGATTTATTTCCCCTTCAATTCGCTCCTCCAAAGCGTCCACCTTCTTAGCCGCCATCTCTTACGGCTTGAAAATTTGATGACGATCTCTAGGTCTGAAAAAAATTTCAGCAATTTCCTCTTCGCCGGCACAAATTTCAGCCGCTGAAATTTGTCAAAAACAGCCCACGATTGGTCCCAAGACTTGCTCTGATACCAATTTGATAGGAAATACTTGATTTCAAGTATTTCCTAACCACTTTCGACGCAAGAAACAGTGAGAACCTGCTGTCCACAGCAGGAATTGGCACAAAACAGTGGAAAAAAAATAGCAAATCTGAGAGAAATAGTGGAGAAAAAGCTTGTGTTTTACTAGTAGATGCAAGGAAAATAGCAAAGATACAAGGATCCTCTATTCGAGAGGAGGATCGCACTCTCCCAATCCTCTCTGGACCGGTCTAACACATTACCTTATCATGATTCACAACTTACATCAAAACTAAATATCAAAACTTGAAGTATCAAATCCAAAACATGATTCTCACTCAAGCTCAACTTTATTCTTCCCTCTGTTTGCAACAAAAACCAGAATAATATAGAAGTTTATAAAAGTATTTTTAATCATTTTCATGATATGTGAAATTTGAGAGAGAGAAAATTTTATGTCCATTTTACTTATCTTACCTTTGAATGTTATGTGATCTTCTGAATGTTATTGGTAGCTCAAAGGTAACATGTATATAAGTTGTGCAAAATGATTTGCACATAACAGGTTTATAAATATTATGTAATACAAAAGAAGAAATACTAGAGTATGATGATTCATAAAGCCGACATAGTTGAGATATGACTGATGATGATGTCAAATTAAAAAAAAGTCTTTGGGCTATTCCAAATGTGGTATCATCACTTATCCAAGAGTTCATTTAATTGAAATTTATCAATTTTAGTGGTGATGGGCATGGCTCCAATTATGAAAACATTTGTCCTTTGTGGATGCATGGACTACTTTTTCCTCTAGCTGCATGTTGTAGTTGTACATATGCACAATTTTGTCTATTTATCTATTTGGTGCTGCATTCCCTTGATACTCTATGGATTTTTTCACTGGATTTCACAAATGTAGAAAGGCCATGGTGGTGTACCTTCTAAAGTTGTTTCCTGTAAAAAGTTTGAATTGTACTGTCTTTTTCTTTTTTCTTTTTTATGGATCTGCTTGAAATATTAAAACTGTGAGTTACTTACCATTTATATTTTAAATTTTATATACAATCATCTCAGTTTGGATTTTGTGATTAGATTGCTGGAATAATGTTGAAGGTAATTCATTTGTGAAGTATTAATTGCGAACAATATATTCTTGGTTTTCATTGGTGCATTGAGGTCATCTCCTGATATTCTGCATGATTTTACATGACTGTTCATTAAAGCTTTGTTGAAAATCTTGTAGATAAATTTACCAGTTTTTTGCTACTCTTGATAGGTTTGTGCTATCTATGGCTGGTGTTGACGCAAACCTTTTGATGGAAGATGAAAGCCTTGTGTGGACAAGCAAGGATGTAGTTATTGTCCTTCAGCATGATAATGAGAAGATACCTTTAAGGTGCCCTAAATATATCTCTTATAAGGTTTTTTTTTTTTTTAAAGAACCTGCTTAATAAAATTTATGGCCACAAAGCTGCCCTTCTATAAAACCTCTGAAAAAAAAACATAGAAACTTTTTTTCAACATGTGCTTAGTTGACGATTGCGTCCTTATTCTAGAATTTGACTTTATCTGATTAGTATGGTTGTGTCACTATCATAAACTACTTGTAGTTTTTATACCTAAAGATTCCGGAATCCAGACGTACTCTACTACTTGCAACTTCAACAAAATACTGCAATTGTTAACGGTTTAAATATTGTCAGCAGTTTCGAGAACTACTACTAGTGGTTATCTTGGTATTAACTTATATTGCTAGATTATTATGAAAAAGTGCGTGTAGAATGAACTAAATTGAAATGTATCCACACCCTAGCTGAATTCTGTTTACCATGCCTGAAATTATTTTCAAACCAAATGACAAATCTCAATGAGTCCTCATAGAATTTCATCTGACGAGCTTAAACGCAGCCAACAGGAGTAATTAGCGAAATATTTAGCTGGCCGTGCTCATCTTTTCTTGCTTATCTTCTTTCCTCTTGCAAACTTAAATACGTCCTTTGAGAATTTTTCTGGAGTTACTGCAAGCATGGAAAAGCACATTCACTAAGGATTTTTGAGATTGAAAAACATAGTGTTATAGCAATACGCGTTGGCTTCCTTTTTCTGGAATAAGATGCCGGTACGCAATAAAAAAAATTCTAAGCATCTTATTTTGTAAGAGATTAATATGCACAATAATTGCAAAACCAGGATAGATAGAGAAGGGACTTGCCTCATTTCATTACTCTTCTATTTTTCATGCTCTCCCATCACTAAAGAATGGTTAATTTAACTTTCTGTACTGGAATTTGGTTTAGCAACTGGAGTTGGGAAATCCTGAGTTAAGGTTAGATGAAACTGTGTTACTTATTTCTCAATACCTTTGTGATTGCAGGACATCCAAGTTGTCAGATGGTGTCGGACATTTAGGCTTCGTTTGGGACGACTTTTTTACTGCTTCATAAAACGGAGTTTTAGTACAAATTTTTTTATTTTTGTACTAAAACTCCGTTTTAGAAAGCAATAAAAAAGCCGTCCCAAACTAAGCCTTAGGCTTCGTTTGGGATGGTTTTCCTAGTGCTTTTTAAAGCAGCATTTTAGTACAGCATTTTAGTACACAAATTAAAAATTTTGTATTAAAATGCTGTTTTAAAAAGCAATAAGAAAGCCATCCCAAACAAAGCATTATTCTCTTAAAAGCTGTTTATTGCTTTTTGCTTAAAGTTATTATTAATTTCTCTCTTTAGAAAATCTGGAAGATGAATGCACATGCAGAGTATTCCTTTATTCCATTTGTTTGAGAGTTTTTCTTTGAAGTTGGGTCTCTGTTATAGTGTTTTTACCTTTATGAGGTCAACTTATTCATATATTCACAGCTATGTTTCTGAAACAACAAAGCAGTATGCCTTTCCCTCCATGGCACAGCGTCACATCCTTGCAGGATTAGCATCAGCAGTTGGAGGTTTAAGTGCGCCTTATGAGAGAGCATCACATATACATGAAAGACCCATTGTTAACTGGCTTTGGGCTTCTGGTTGTCATCCATACGGACCATTCTCCAATACATCTAAAATTAGTCAAATGCTACAGGATGTTGCCTTGGTAAGGCTGTAACTATTCTTTGTATAGAAGAATATATACAAAGATATATTTGTTATATGTGGTTCTAAGATAACCTATCAAGTATAACCAAATGGATGACCTTTTTTCGATCTTCTGCTATTGCAGAGAAGCTCCATATATGCAAATGTTGATGCTGCTCTTCGCAAAATAAGGGATACTTCAGAAGTATCATATCGTCTCCAAACTAGTCACTTTTTTTTCTTTTTCTATCGCCCATGTCAAGGTTGAAATGAAATTAATGAATTCCTATGCTTGTGTAGGCTGTTCAGTCTTTTGCATCCGAGCACCTCAAGACTCCACTTGGTGAGCCTGTGAAAGGAAAGCGAAATAGGTCTGCAACTGATCTGTGGTTGGAAAAGTTTTACAAAAAGGTTACAAATTTACCAGAACCGTTTCCACATGAGCTTGTAGAGCGCTTAGAACAATATTTGGATGTAAGTAAACTAATGTCTACTCTGCGACTATCTGAGTGTCTGCATCTTATTTGTACATTTTAAAAAACACTTCTTTCAACAGAAAATTGAGGAACAATTGGTGGATTTATCTGCACTTCTATATGATCACCGGTTTGAAGATGCATACCAAAACAGTACCGACATATTCCAGAGTACCATATATACTGATCAGTAAGTTTCCTTATCCATTACTTCGTGAATGTAAATATTAAGGAATGAATATAACTTGTAACCTAATAGGTTATTGTGAGTCCTCTTAATTTATAGATTATTGATGCTTATTAGGAGTCTTTTTATTCGACAAATTTTATTAATGTCAAAGCACTACAGAAAGAAAATTGTTAGACTGGTCCAGCCGGTCCAACGGGACCGGCTTACATGAACAGAGACGGACATTTCCGCCTCCTATATGCGCCGAATGCATGCCTGGGCGTGTGTGAGTTGTTTATAAAGGATTTTTGATGGAGTTAAGAGGGAAATTTGAATGTAGGGACTGTTTAGGGATTTCCTTTTGACTTTTATGCATTAAATAGTTTGTTTTGCTAGGGTTAGAGCATCTTGAATTTGGCTGAAATTTGAGATCTCATAGGTTTTCTTTGAGCTCTAGCGGCGTCCAGCGATTTGTGAGAGATCGATCCTCCTTTCGAATAGAGGATCAATTGTATCTTGTTATTTTCTTCCGTAGTTTCACTAGTTTGTTTTCTTGCAATAAAATTACTGTTTTTATTGGTTTTTCATTGGAATCGGGGAGATTTCTCGGTGTTTTTGCTATCTTGATAGAATTTACTTGAAATGCAATCATGTGTTTTCTATCAAAAACATCAATGAAGAAAATAAGCTTTGGCTCCTCTCTCACTCTCAATTGATATTTGGACTCATGGGCATCATATAATTTTCCGTCTCTTCTTTCTTAATGAACTTCTAGAGTTTTTATGTTATATTTTCCTTAATTTCTCTGGTTTTTTTTGTGTTTTACTGCTTTCGATCATTAACTTATGGACTTCTCTGCCTGTGTAACTTAAATCTGCTGCTCTTCCTGCGCTATTTATTTGTTTACTTATTAATTTATTTGGCTTTTTTATTGATGATATATATACAGTTATGTAAAGCGCGTTTTAGTTGCTGAAAAGGATAAAATGAGGTGCTGTCAGATCGAGTACAAATTTCCTGCACGTTCTTCGCAAGTTTTCATTTATGGGGGAATACTTCTTACAGGATTCGTCGTGTACTTCTTTGTTATCTTCTTTTCATCCCCTGTTCGCTGATATCTTCTGATAATGGTTTAATTAAGCTGCCTTCAATTTTGTAGCCCACACCCAAAGAGATGTTAGCGGCACTGACATTTTCTCAACTTTAAGCAGGATGAGCTCTCCAATCATCGGGTTGGTTTATTTTAGGATGGGTGTAATATAAATTTTAATTCATTATTTATATATTGTATTCATCCTAAAGTAAATCTAATTAGTGTAAAACTCATTGATTTGGGTTAGCATATATCTTAATCTTTTTTTTTTTTTTTTTTTTTTTTTTTGCGCGTGAGATTGAGAATTATGTGTTTGTTGACACTTGAATTATATAGGAAAATGAATGATTTTATTTTTGTATGAATTAAGTCCTATATTTGACTCAAATTTCATTAAAATAGGCTTTTATAATCATTAAATTTATTTTGAGAGGCGTGCTATATAAATTTTTTATTAGTTATTCATGTAGTCAAAAAGGTTGGATTCATATCATATAAAATGACGGTCTTCCGATGACCTGATTAGGAAGTAGATGTATTAGATTTGACTTAAATTAAGAAAGGTAGGGATATATCAAAAAAGACTTGGTTAGATAATATTAGAAATGATATTTTTTATTAGATTTAAATGATAATTTGACTTTTTATATGACAGAATGGAGAAAAAGGATTCATGTAGTTGACCTCATGTAGTGAGACATGCTTTATTTTTAATAGTGAGACAAATGTTTTATGTTGTTGTTGTTATAGCTGTTCATGTATTCCTCTCGTCTAAGGTATATTTCATCTTTTTATTGCAATTAGGATTTTAATTTGGGTATTTTTTTACACTATTTTTAAGAAGTTTGCATGTTAGGAAGTTATTTTCTATAATATTTTTTTAAAAAGTTACTTTTTTAGCCGATGTCTTCCACAACAAGATATAAATAAATTACAAGCCAAATACTATAAAATCATTCTGCTTATATACTAACTAATTAATAAAATTTAAAAAATAATAGAAAATTAATAATATAAATTTAAAGAGGTATATTTGTTTGGAGCTGATAACAAGCTCAAGCTTCGTATAATAGAGAGAGAAAATAATCATTCTTACTCATCGGCTTCTCTCTTAGTTAGGGCTCCCGCCTGGGCGATTTTGACGCTCCTCGATCGGTTGGGTCGTGCTCTCCTCGATGCTCTAGGGAGTTTTTCTTCCCTTGTTCTCTTTTCATGTGGTGTTTTTGTGTTTCGTTTTGATTTTGCTTCGGTGCCTTTAGTCTTTCTCACCGGAATGTTGGGGAAACGGTAGTGCGATCCTGATTTTTTGGATTAATCGTTCAAATCTCAGTCTTTTCTCGAGGCTCTTGCTGGTTGCTCCTCTGATGGTCGTTTTTCATGACCTTCTTCGCTTCATGGTTTACCTTCGCTGTGGATTTCAGATGATGAAATCAATGCCATGGCGCTGCCTTTTCAATTTTCCTTAATTGGATTTTTGCCTTCTAAGAGGCCTTCACTAGATTCTATTCGTAGGTTTTTCTTCTCCCTGAAGCTTTCGGGTGAGGTTTCTGTAACTTTACTTGATCATACACATGTCTTGATCAAGTTGAGCAATGAACTTGATTACTATAGAATTTTCTGTCATTGTTCCTACCTAGTTCAAAATTTTTATATAAAGTTGACCAAATGGTCTCCTCTGGTTGTTGTTGGTGTTGGGTCGCTTGTGATCCCTATTTGGGTCTCCTTTTTGGTTTGGTTGGTCGGCTGCTGAAGTTTGATTTGACTACTTCCATGGGTTCTAGATCATTTGTAGCTCGTGTGCTTGTTGAGCTTGACATCACGAAATATTATCCCGATAAAGTTTTGTTGGGTCCTGAGAACCTAAGCTATATTCAACATGTGTCGATGGAAGATTTCCTTGACTATTGTGCTTCGTGTAAATGTTTGGGACATTTAGTGGTGATTGCCGACCTCTTTAGGTTGCCCCGCTAAATGTTGTTCCTATAATTTCTAACTCGTTGAATGTGAAGTTAACTGTGAGGGTGATAAGGTAGAAAAATCAGTTTCTTGTGATGACATTGATGGAGCTCAAATTTTGTGTCCCTCTAATATTAATAACGGGAATGTTGTGGTCTATGACATTATTGTTATTAATTCTGTTGATGAAGTAATTAATATTGTTTCTGATTCGTCTAAGGATTCGGAATTGAACTTTGCTGTTGGTGAGGCTCTTCGGCCTGATTTTGTGTTAGATCGTGTGGTGGAGACTGAATTGCATGATGCCTCTTTGACTATTGCTGATGCTCTGGTTGTTCTGGACAACTAGTTTGTTGTTCTGGATGGGGCTATGACTCCTGTGGGCTGCAATAACTTGAATGTTTCAACTTCGGCTGGGGATGTTATGGAGCCCAATGTGCTCGTTTCTGAGCCGTTGAATACTGATAACTGTTGCTTGAACTTGATGGTTAGTCCTACTAGTGAGAAGGTTGAGGAGGTGTTAAGAGATGGTTCTATTTCCTTAAATTTTGAGGAGGTTGGGCACCTAAGCTCCACAATTCTCCCCTTGCTATCATGTAGCCTTTAAAGCATTGGAAACGATAGTAATGGTTAGAGGAGGACAATTTTTTGCATGATGGGGAAGATATTATGGAGTCAAAATTGACTATTTCCAAAAATAATGTTAAGCGTAGTAAAAACAAATCCAAAAAGACATTATTTTTCTTTTTGGCATTTCTCTTTTTTCCTTTGTTGGTTGTTACTGATTTTGGCTTCTTAGCAGCATCGGTTTTTGTTTAGGACTATGATGAAGCAGGTTTCCTGCAAGCCCTTTAGACGGTCATGGCTTCGTTGGCAACCTATTGAAAGTTCATTAGGGATGTTAAGCCCTATAGAACTGGTCCAAGGCTAATTAAGAAAAAGAGGTGAATTGATAAAAACTAACACAAAACTCAAACCAATATCGTCACAATAAAAACCAAAGTGCGAAAATTAAAAGTGCGGAAGTAATAAAGAAAGAACACACCGGATTTATAGTGGTTCGGTCAAACCTTGACCTACGTCCACTCCTTGGAGGCACCCTCCAAGTATTGCACTACAAAAGTGTCTCTCCTTTAGCCCCCACAGCTAGGCGGAGAAGCCCTTACAAAATCACTTCCACCTTCCCCGGTGCGGCGGAGTCGCCGGGTCCTTTGACACCAAAGAGATCTTCTTCTTTGGTGAACTTACCTCGAGACAAGCCTTAAATCCAATGGTATTAAGGTGCGAGTTTGCCGGAGCAACAGTGTGGAATCCCCTCCACACTCCCTTGAGTTTCTCTCCCTCATAGGATCTTCTCCCTCTCAAACTCCGATCATTGTATTATTTGGCTCCTGATTTTTTTAAAGTATAAAGTTTCTAATCTGCTTCCCTAGAGCTTTACTGTTTTTAACATTCGATCCGGAACGATTTATATGGCCGGACATTTTTCAAATAGAAAACCCTAAGTATCACCTCATTTTAAACACGTCATATATGCAAAACACATCGTCTTGGACATTTGTCATCGCAGACGATAGGCTCAATACAGAAAGAATCTACCCCAGATCAATAAACATAACATATTTGACATCCAGGGATCGTCTGACTAAAAATATCGTCCAGGACAATCCCACGGTCATCTTTCCAAAATTTCGCTGGAATTTAAGGAAAACAATTATGACTGATTCCAGATCAAATCCGCCTGACGATCCCAACTCCTGCCAATATCTAGGACATTGTCATCCGAAGCCAATCTCTCTCCTT